GATGGTGGCAGGGGTGGTGCTGTTGGAAGCAATAGAGGAGGTGGTGGTGGCAGCGGCAGCGGTGGTGGTGGCCGCAGCGGCCGGTTCAATCCAGCAAGCTCTGGTGGAGATGGTGGGAACAATCATGGAGTTGAAGAGCATTACAAGAGGATGGTGGAGGAAAATCCTGGTGACCCTTTATTTCTCAGGAATTATGCTCAGTTTCTGTATGAGGTATGTCCCCCTTGACCAAAGTTTCAGAATTCAAGCTTGATTTCGAAATATGTTCATATTGAGTCCAGGTTGTTTTTACAGACAAAGCAAGACCTTCATGGAGCAGAGGAGTACTATTCCCGGGCCATCTTAGCAGATCCTAAAGACGGCGAGATCCTGTCACGATATGCGAAGTTAGTGTGGCAGCTGCATCATGATGAAGAAAGAGCTTCAAGTTACTTTGAAAGGGCAGTTCAGGCATCTCCTCAGGATAGGTATTTGCTTCTTTTCCATTCTAGTATCATGCTACCATAAATTTCTAAATCTGGGTTTTGGTTAACCTGAGTAACAATGTTCAATTTGGATTCCAGCCATGTTCATGCAGCATATGCCAGTTTCCTTTGGGAAACAGAGGAAGACGAAGATGAATGTAGTGCGCCATACAAGATTGAGTCCAAGCCCCCAGAGTTTCGTGAGGAAGCAACGGCAAATGCTTAATTCCAGCATGCTTTGTGTCTGCTTTATTGTGTACATACAAATAGGCAAATCGCAATTTCAGCCATCTTTTACAGAATTGAAGTACATGACCCTAAAGCCAAGAGATAATTCATCTGAGGAAGCATTACAACCATCATGTGTCGATTGCACATGACAAATTTTTTATCATCGTGGTAAGTGTGTCAATATGAAATGAAAATGCAAAAGTAAATGACTTCATGTCAAAAGCATGGTGTCATTTTATCGCATTTCCTCAAAAACACATGAAAAGGTCAAATAACTTCCCACTTGAATAGGATGATGAAAAACATTCAAGAGGAAAATAATATGCAAACCGGAGGATATAAAATGAGAAAATGCTCTTCAAAACTCCATTTTGTGAAACAACACCGCCCCCCCCTCCTTTCCAAAAAAAAAAAAAAAAATTGAAACCTTGCAAAGAGTTTAGCCATACTGCGTTTAGTTTCCGAAGATACTGCCTTTGTGTGAACCACGCTTTTGGAAACCATTCCCTCTTGGTCTGTAGTCACCAGAGTCTTGGTTGTTTCCCTTGCCAAAACTACAAAAACCAAAGCAACCCCCTAAGGCCTCAACTGAAAAAGTGCCTTTACCCCTTCCACAACCCCTTCCTCCCCTTCCTGGTAAATAAAATTCAAATAAATCTTGGTCAATGGAACATAAAGCAAGCAATTCTGAATTATTTACTACCATTCAGAGTACATAGACTATCAATTCAAACACACAATTTGTAACCAGTGATATTCAGTGCCTGTAGGTTTTTGTAATGCATCTTAACAAGTCAATGGTACATGCACTTATAACCAGCATTGCATCCATCAAGATTGTGGATGTTTGATTCTAACTCTATTGGCTCTTCTCATTTACTCAGCAAGGCACATCCATACACAACTCAAAATTTTTCAGCAATCAAATGGTAATGAGACACCTTGCCTATCCCCATACAATTCTTTTTTTTTATTTTTTTGGCCAAAATCCCTGTACACATTCAAAGATAAAAAGGCAACCACAATTACATTCATCAGTGACCAGCATAGCATCCAAAAAATCGGAGGCTGGTTACTAACAAACAATATGTGAAATGTTTAGACATTTTATGGAGAATGCATTTCCAATTTGATCTTGAGGTGGTCAAAAGCAATGAAGATTTTGAATTAAAAAATATGCATATACAGAAAAATTTTCTGGCCTGAAAAGTGAATATTGCATTTGGTAAAACAGAGAGTATATTGAGGGGCATACTTCCTCCTTGAATACTGCTACTATTTGGTTGCCACTCCTCATTATATACTTGCCTTCCAGCCAGCTGTATGGGAGATGCCTACAGAAAGGACTGAAATTTTTTCTTTTTAAAAATGATACATACACAGCATAAAAAAAAAAAATTGAAGGATTACATCTGCAAATTAGTTCTGAAATTTTAAAATAAAAATTTCAACTCTTGACAATAAAAATGACTGGCTAAATAATTGTATTAAACTCAGATGAATTTGGTACATCTAGAAAAGGAAGAGAGGTTCTTAAGCAAGGACTCAATATAAACAGTTAAACCAATTGTCAAGGAACCAGGAAATTTTAGAAAGACATAATTTCTTTATACCTTGACTGCATTTTGAACAGCAGGGATATCTTCAAACTCAACAAAAACATGGCGACACCAGGAACATCTTGCGTGCATCAAACTTTAATCCAGCTTCTTGCAGGTTATCCAAAGATGATCAACAGAAGAGAAAAAGGAAACAACCTTGTGGCTCCTGATAAAAACACCATCAAGCTTGATTCTACCAAAGTTCTCAAATTCCTCCTTAATTTCTGCAGCAGTAACATCAGAGGGCAAGTTTCTGACATAGACAAATCTAAATTCACCTGAATGAATGAAACATTGAAAATTGAGAATCAACTTGAGTTCAAGCTTCTACAAAATTTAAGTGAATTGCAACAAGTTATTTTCCTTCAACTCCAAGCATACAGGATTGAAATTTTCCAAAACTGAATGATCAAAATCATCTAATCTTAGAAAATGTTAACAATTTCTAATCAATGGCAGTGGTGATAGTCATTCTTGAAAAAAATGAAAATAAAAAATATAAAATAAGATACATAATACCAAGAAATATTACCTGAATTGCAGAAGCAGACCAGCTCGACTTCCCATCAACTCGAACCATGGTGCTATTCTAAGAGTAGAACCGGTGAACGAGTTCCAGTTGTTGCTGAAGAACTTGGTAGTACTGCACCACAAAGTATGAGCCAACCTGAAATAACACCCACCCCGGAAATACCATTAACACCAAAAAACCAACATGTATTATATTACACCAATGTGAGGATTGCAGTAGATGCATATTATCATATATCAAGATAGATTGGTTCTCGGATCACCTGAACTGCTCCTGGGTAAGAGGTGGCCATTATTGCCTTAGTTCACTGAAAGAGCATGCAACAGAGAAAATCCTTCAAAACCCAAAGAACCCCTCATTGCAAATGGGAACCCTGATCGAGGACTTGAAGTATTTGAAACCCTAGTTTTCCAAAGACGAGGGTTTAAGCAGCGAAGAGGGAAGAACTCTGGGATTGTAATATCCAAAACAAGAATCTCAAAGAGGAATGGTTGGAGATTAGAAAAGAAGGATTCTTGCGGAATTTAGTTCGAGAAGGAGTAACAAAGCGAGGACTTTTGAAGAGGAATCAATAGCACCAGAACCGGCGGAGTTCAGATCTGCAGAGACCGGAGAGAGAGCTCCGGCGACTTCAAAACGGAAGTTGCTGTGTTTCGTACTTTCGGTCTCTTTGGAATCGTTGATCTTATATGGTATCAGCTAGGATTTACCACACTTAAGTACAGCTCTCCACTTAGTGGAGTCCATGTTACAAGGAACTGTGAAATCTTACCCGCATATTTAAGTAGGTAGCCCAAACCCAACGGCTGTGATTTTTTTTTAGTTGCCGATGAGCTGGTTTGGTATCTTTATAAAATTTTTTAAGAAAATGTTTTTGGGATAATCATTTTATTTTATTTTTTTATAATTTAATGTGTTATTAAAATGATTAATTTTTTTAAGTTATGAAATTTGTAATATTGAATACATCTATTTATTTAATGATATGTAAAAGTGAAACTTGTAATATTAAATGCATTAATTCATTTAATGACATATAAAAATTGTACAAAAAAATAAGACAAAAAAATTGTCCCAATAGCACCATGTAAATTTCTAACCTGTGTTATAAATTATGAGTTTTAAAAAAATAAAAAATAGCATTTAATTTATTAATTATCTAATGAAATTTATTCACATGATATTAACACCAAAATTAATGTTTATTTTTATGGTTTTCTATATAAATTTATTAAAAAAGGTAGAAAAATTCTATGGTTATATATACTCCCTCTAGCTAAATTTAGTACCCCACACTCTAATTTCTAATTAGCATGATGTAATTTTAATTGTCTTAATTTTTTATTTTAATAAGATATTAAATATTAATATTTTAATTTTGTTTTCTTATCTTGAAAGAAATAAAAATGAGTTAGGGTTTTTAGTTTAATTGTAAATAAGGACAAAAATAGAAATATAAATTTCAATTCTTGTAATAAATGAAGTTTCTCTTAATCGTAAATAAATAAAGTGCAATAATTACATCATAACAGAGGGAGGTTTTTTTTTTCATGTAACTCATTCCAATGATATAGTTACAATGCCAATTATAAGTTTATAATCTTGATGTATTATTTAATGGCTGAATGTATATAATACTATAAAAAGGTTTTGGAATCAAAAGAACAAATTATACAATGACATTTTAAGATCATAAACTTATAATATTATGTGTCATTATAAATATATCATTTTTGGTAACTCATTTGTTTAAAAATAAAATTTTGGTATTTTGAAGTTTAGATTGTACCAAATTATAAAACACCAATTATGAAATTGATGAGCCTCTAATTAAGACCACTTATTATCTAAGGATTAATGTTTCATAGTCCGGTACTTTTTTTTTTTCTGTAAAAATTAATTCAAACAAAAAAGGTTTAAACTTTAAACAATTTTGTAGTCTCTCAACTTTGTAATTTTATACTAAATTGGTTTCTTAATTTCCTTTGGAACCATTTTGGTCCTCTGCCAATGGTGTGTTGATGAGGTTGCAATTTACTTCATTAAATAATATGAAAGCCAATAATGGAGATGATAGACGTACAATGATTTTAAATATAATGAGTTGTACACAATATGGCTTAATATTATATGATTGATTTTTTTTACTGTGAATCATGTATAATATTATATATATTCACTTGTTAAATGTTAATTTATATTGTGTAATGTACAATATGATATAACATTATATTTATAATATTATCATTAAATAATTTTTAATTATTATTTAATAACATATAAAAATTATAAATAAAAAGTTGTGAGTAAAGAAATCATTTTTCCTTTTTAGTTATAATAACAATGATGAGGCAACTTATAATAGAATTGATGCTTTGTATGTTTCAAAATTTAAGACTTCTTAATTTTTTCACACATATTTTTAAATAGCATTTTTATATAGCATATAAATTATAATTAAATTTTTTTAATTAAATAAAACTACTCAATAGGAATTAGTAAAAAAAGACGTACAATTTCGATTATAATTATTCATATAAAAAAAAAAGAAAACAAGGGGAGCAAGATAAGAGTTCAAAAGTTTACTAGGTTCTTTCTTCAAAAGTACAAAGCCAAGTGCATGTGCATAAGCTAGCGTTTTCCCGAAAAAAGAACAAAAAATCTCTATTCCATATCCCGTCGCTTAGATCTTGGCTGCCACATCAACATTACAAGGACTAAAATTAATCTTTGAAAAATGGGTCCTTTTTTCCCGTGGAAATTAAAAACATATGAAGCCATTTAACTTTACAATAATTCACTTAAACGACGAAGCTCCACTACCCCTTCCCAACTCGATCACCACCTTTCATGAATCTTGGGTAATGTTCCCACTCTCTTTCGTCCCCCGTTAGCCATATTTCTTTACATTATCTCCCCAATTTTTAACTAAGTTTTCCCCCTATAAATTATTGCCCTATAGCTCCCACAAAACCATAAGCAAAACACTAGCTACATTGATATATCAATGGAAAAGTTTCTAGTAAAGATTCTTTTTCTGGCCATGGCCACCGTCTTGGTGGAAGGGCAGGGCACGATGGTTGGATTTTATTCAAGCTCGTGCCCTCGGGCTGAATCCATTGTCACCTTAACAGTTCAGTCTCACTTCCGGTCCAATCCTAACATTGCTCCTGGCTTGCTGCGGATGCACTTCCTTGATTGCTTCATTGAGGGCTGCGATGCCTCTATCCTCATTGAGGGCTCCAACACCGAGAAGACTGCTAATCCAAACCTTGGTTTGAGAGGCTATGAGGTTATTGATGATGCCAAAAGCAAGATTGAAGCAGTTTGCCCCGAAATCGTCTCTTGTGCTGATATTCTTGCCCTTGCTGCTCGCGACGCAGTTGTTCTGGTAATTATATTGGAGCTTCATAGTATATTAAAATAAAAATTAAAATATCCTAACACTTAAAAATGTTAAGATCTCTAATTATTAGGACCACAAAAATCCTACCGTGTGATTAAATATTATGACTCTTTGCATCCTCCATCATAAATATTTCCATACATCAAATGTCTTCATCATTACTTTAAATTTATATAAAAATAACCAAATAATATATGCTTCTATATATATGAATATATGGTGCAGACGGGTGGGGTGAGTTGGATGGTGCCAACAGGACGTAGAGATGGAAGGATTTCACTGGCATCTAACGTTAATCTACCAAGTTTTAAAGACTCCATTGATGTGCTAAAGCAAGAGTTTGCTGCATTGAGTCTCAACACACAAGACCTTGTTGTCCTTCTTGGTAATTAATTAAGCAATTTTTTTTCTTTGAACTAATACAATTAAGAGATTGAAAATGGAGATTGTCAAGCCTTAAACCTTGGATTTTTAGGTATCACCACCCTTCTCAATGGTGGTTGGCAATTAATTAAGCAATTTTCAACTACTTTAAGTTAAAAAATAAAAAATACAAAAAATTGTACCCTTCAACTTTTCGTTGTTGCCCAATTAACCCCCTTTTTTTTGTTAATTTCTTTTGAAACAGGAGGACATACCATAGGAAACACAGCATGCCAGTTCTTCAGCTACAGACTGTACAACTTCACTTCAAACGGTCCAGATCCATCAATTGATCCAGCTTTCGTACCTCAACTTCAGTCACTCTGCCCACAAAACGGGGATGCGACTCGGCAAGTTGATCTTGACACGGGCAGCACCGGTAGATTTGACTTGTCTTTCTTCACTAACCTGAGGCATGGCCGGGCGATTTTGGAGTCTGATCAGAAGCTGTGGACTGATGCTTCGACAAGAGCCATCATACAACGTTTCTTCGGAGGCTCACCACCACTGAGTTTTAGCGATGAATTTGGAAGGTCCATGGTGAAGATGGGTAACATTGGCATTAAGACGGCCACCAATGGTGAAATCCGCAAAATTTGTTCAGCAGTGAACTAATATCCCAATTGTGGATATAAGAATAGTAGTGCATTTGCTTTGAGAGGAATGTAGGGGGAGAAGGGAAAGAAAGATCCTTAAATTAATCGAATTATAATATTTTTAAATGTTTTTAAATATTATAATTTAATTAATTAAAAATCTTCTTCTCCCTCCTTTTTAATTTTCCTCAAGCCAAGCAAAACTTAAATGCATATAAAATTAGTTTAAGATAAATAATTAATTTACTTTTCTACTAAAAATTGTAATAATGTCTTTTAATCTATATCTCAATGATCATTATAGTTAAAAACTTATCTCATATAAGTTGTAACTTTGTGAAATAAAAAATTGGATAATGTTTTTTTTTTTCTAAAATTAAATTATAAAGCCATAGACTAGAAATTATTTTTAGATGCGCGACAAACCAACCTAGGTTAAATAAGATGCTAATATAATTTTTAAGAAAAATGACTCGAAAATTGGTAGCGAACTGCCAAATATCACATGCCTAAAACTAAAATACAATTTGCCACCGTCAGCTAGAACCGCCACTATGAAACTTCCACTCTAGGTTCTACCTTTCCCACGCTTTCTCAACTTAAAAACTGGGTGCTCGCCATGCAAACTTAGTAGTAATTTCCGTAATACGGCTGAGGAACAGAAGCAGGTTGCTGAGCCGGGGTTAATGTTGAGGCAGCAGCTGGCTGCGCATAGCTTTGTTGGGGAATAGTCTGCACAAAATCACACTCAGGTTCAGCGCAAAATAAAAGAGAGAACAACAAAATAAACGGACTCACATCCCCTTTTTTCACTTAAGCTGAGACATTCATTCCGAACAAAACTGAAATTAGATATTTGGTGCAGGAATCCCTTATAGGAAGAGCAACACATTTTCTTAAAGCAATACAAGCTATGTAAAAAAGACTGGATTCAGAAGTCCCTTAAAAGCAGAACACAATTGTATGGGGCAGAGGAAAAACCCAACTTGCCATTAAGCGCTTTTGTAAAGGAGACACGTAAGACTTTAGAATGATATTATTATTCGCACTACTTATTTCCCGCGTTTCTGAGTCCAATGGTACATAATCAGTGCTCTCTTGCAGAACAGGAAATGGACAGCTATATTTTTGCACATAAAAATAAGAAAATAGATTGTTTTTGGTAGAAAGCAGGAGGATCATTATGTTGTTTATCTGCAAAACCTTACATATATACCACAAGAACCTCAACATAAATATGAAGCGCAGTTAATTTGGAACAGTTCATACCTGAACAGGATATGTAGAAGAATAAGCAGAGCAAATCCAGCACATGATCTAGCAGGATGACATTCGGTAACTTATCACATGTTAAAATTATAATCTTGAAATAAAAAAAAAAATTAATTCAAGTAATTATAGGGTTTTAAACTTAATATATTTAAATTACCCTTTCTTTTCATTTTTTTTTCGATATGAGATCTTATTTTACCACAATTCACGAAAAAAAAAATGTAAATGTTGAGATAAAATTAGGTGCTTGATTACCCGGATCCACTAAAGAGGATCAAATCATAAAATCAGGGATACTATCATAAAGGTAAGAAATTAAGAAGAAGATCAAATAATTTTTTTAAAACAGGCCAAAGTTTCTAGCAAGAGAATTAAACCCTAGTTTTCCAAAGACAAGGGTTTAAACAGCGAACAGGGGAGAAGTCTGGGGTTGTTATATCAAAAACAAGAATCTCAAAGAGGAAACAAGAAGGATTCTTGCGATCTATTAATTAAGTTCAAGAAGGAATAACAAAGAGAGGGTTTTTGAAGAGGAATCAATGGCATCGGAACCAGCGGAGTTCAGATTTGCAGGGACCAGAGAGAGCTCCGGCGACTTCCAACGGAAGTTGCTGTGCTTCGGAGTTTCCTTAATTTTAGAACAACGGCATATATGGTGTCTGCTAGGATTTACCTCACTTAACCACAGCGCTCCACTTAGTGGAGCCCATAGTTCACGGAGGAGTGAAATCTTACCCGCGTGTCAAACAGGGGGCCCAAACCCAACGGTTGTGATTTTTTTCCGTCGCCTCCAAGTAGTCTCTTATATTTATTCATTTTTTATGTAACACATTCGCCAATAGTATAATTACAATAACAATTCTAAGTTTACAATGTTAGTATGTCATGTAAATGTATATAATATTATATATAAATAAAAAGAATTAATCATAATAAATAATATTTTATTATTGTAAATTTATGATATTATGTGATTTTGATTATATTATTTTAAGTTAATAACTCATTTGTTTAAAAATTAGAGTCTAGTGTTTTAGAGTTTATATTAAGAAATATCAACCACTAAATGAAGGGTCCTTTACCCGTTATCAAGGTCTCTCATTATCTAATGATTAATATTTTAGAATAAGAATAGTATTTATTTGTTTTATTTTCTAAAGATTATGAGGAAAAGTATCATAAAACTACTTTATTTAAATAAATTTTTATTGAAAAAAACTAAAATACCTTATTTTTAAAACATAAATTAGAGTATTTTTTACTTTTTTGTGTAGTGATTTATTAAAATGACGAAATTTTATAATACTTTTACTTTTAATTTTTGAGATACTTTTACTCTTAATCTTTAAAAAGTAAGATAGATAAACATTAATCTTTTTTATAATTCGGTGTAATTTAAATTGCAAAATACTTTTTTTATTTTACTTTAAATGTTTTTTTTGTCTCTCAACTTTGTAATTTTATGCTAAATTGGTTTCTTAACTTTTTTTTGTACCATTTTGGTCCTCTATCAATAGTGTTGAGATGGCACTTTACTTCACTAAATAATATGAAAGCCGATAATATAATTAATAGACATATAATGATTTTAACTGCAATAAATTATGTAATATGATTTAATATTATATGATTGACTTTTTTTTGTTGAGGGTCATGTGTAATATTAGCTAATAAGGTCTAGAAAAGCAAAATATATGTATCAGTATTCCTAGAGAAGTTTCAATAGTCTAAAAGATAAAATATACCAGCAAACCTTGTAAGCTTTAATCCTCCATGGACTGATACGCCACAAGCCAGAGCAAACCTTAAAAATTGATGTGCTAATTTATTGGACTCTTAATTTTTACAAGAAGTAGGGTTGAGATGCATTCTTTTCTTAATTAAAATATAAAATTAGTTATAAAAATATGTAATTATTAAACTACTCTTCTTCTCTCCTCAAAACCCTTCCCCTCCTTTCTCTTCCTCCCCTTCTTTTCTTTCTACTCTTCTTCACCAGGTTCTTTAATTTCTTCGAAAGTTCGAAGCCACGTGCTTGTACAGTGCGTAAGCATTTTTCCAGAAAGAGAACAAAAAATCTCTAATCCATGTCCTGTCACTCAGATCTTGGTCGCCAGCTCAACATTACAAGGGCTAAATTTATCTTTGAAAAATGGGTTCTTTTTTCACGAGGAAATTTAAAACACACGGCGCCATGCAACTTGACAATAATTCACTTAAAACGACAAACCTCCACTAACCTTTCCTAACTCACCAGTACCTTTAAAACTGATTGAATAATTAATATTCCACTCTCTTCGGCCCCCCTTAATTAGCCGTGTTTCTTTGCCTCTCCCCAAGTTTTTGACTAAATTTTCTCTATAAATTATGTCCTATATAGCTCCCACAAAACCATAAGCAAAACACTAGCTAGCTTCATTGATTGATATATCAATGGAAAAGTTCCTAGTAAAGTTTCTTTTTCTGGCCATGGTCACCATCTTGGTGGAAGGGCAGGGCACTAGAGTTGGATTTTATTCAAGCTCGTGCCCTCGAGCTGAATCCATTGTCTCCTTAACAGTTCAGTCTCACTATCGGTCCAACCCCATCATTGCTCCTGGCTTGTTGCGGATGCACTTCCATGATTGCTTTGTCGAGGGTTGCGACGCCTCTATCCTCATTGAGGGTTCCGACACTGAGAAGACTGCTATTCCAAACCTTACTTTGAGAGGCTTTGAGGTTATTGATGATGCCAAAAAGCAGACTGAAGCAGTGTGCCCCGGAATCGTCTCTTGTGCTGATATTCTTGCCCTTGCTGCTCGCGATGCAGTTGTTCTGGTAATTATATTCAAGTTTCATAGTATATTAAAAAAAAAAAAAAAGTAAAAATCGAGATATCCAAACACTAAAAATATTAGGATCACAATTATAAAAGTTTTTGTCATTATGATTATGATTTTATGATTATGATTGGACGTCATGATTTTCAATATCTTACATAATAAATATTTCTATATATCAAACCTCTTCATTATTACTTTATATAAAATAACCAAGTAATATATGCTTCTATATATGTATATGGTGCAGACGTGTGGGGTGAGTTGGCTGGTGCCAACAGGACGTAGAGATGGAAGGATTTCACTGGCATCTAACGTTAATCTACCAAGTCCCACAGAGTCCATTGATGATCAAAAGCAAAAGTTTGCTGCATTTAGTCTCAACACACAAGACCTTGTTGCCCTTGTTGGTAATTAATTAAGCAGTTTAATTTTCCTTTTTCTACTACTTAAGTAAAAGAAAAAAAAAAATTGAACCCTTCAACTTTTCATTGTTGCCCAATTAACCCTTCTTTTTTTGGTTAATTTCTTTTGAAACAGGAGGACATACCATAGGAACGGCAGCGTGCCAGACCTTTAGCTACAGACTGTACAATTTCACCTCAAACGGTCCAGACCCATCAATTGATCCAGCTTTCTTATCTCAACTTCAGTCACTTTGCCCAAAAAACGGGGATGGGACTCGGCGAGTTGATCTTGACACGGGTAGCGCCGGTAGATTTGACTTGTCTTTCTTCACCAACCTTAGGAACAACCGGGGGATTTTGGAGTCTGACCAGAAGCTGTGGACTGATGCTTCGACAAGACCCATCGTACAACGGTTCTTGGGAGGCTCACCACCACTGCGTTTTAGCATTGAATTTGGAAGGTCTATGGTGAAGATGAGTAACATAGGCGTCAAGACGGGCACCGACGGTGAAATACGCAAAATTTGCTCTGCAGTGAACTGACATCCCAAGTGTGGATAGGTTAAATATGCAAATTTACTCTTAAAATTATCGTCTTGAAATAAATTATAATTTAAAAAATATTAATGTAATTTA